CAAAGGGTAAAAACGCACTTCAGTGAACCAGAGGAACGAGTACGAGAACTCCGGCATCTCCGAGACCAACTAGCAAGGAATGGATACCCGAACAGCTTCATCAGCCGCTGCCTCCGCACGCGCCCACGGCGAACAAACGGAGGAAAGCCACCAACACTCTGGCACCCCTTAACATATATAAAGAACGTGTCCGAAGCGACGGAACGTATCGCTGGAGAGCTCGGCGTGGGTATCGCTCACCGTCCGACAGCGACCATGCGCAGCGAAATCATGCGAGTGAAGGATCGCCTAGACGTGGGAGAACAATCGGGTGTCGTCTAGCAGATCCCATGTCGGGACTGCCCTCGCCACTACACAGGACAGACCGGACGGCGACTTAGCTCACGAATAACGGAGCACAAACGGGCGGTCCGGAGAGGCGACCCGTTGTCTCAGATCGCCACCCACACCCTGGAGGAAGGCCACGAATTCAACTTCGCGAGCACGCGGATAGTAGCGCGGGCCAGCAATAAGACGGGACGAGAACTGTTAGAGGCCTGGGTGTCTGACACCAACTTATTCAACAGGCACATTGACATACCCCCCTGCTATCACGCGCTCCGTTCCCGCGGCCAAGAGGCGAGACCCAATTTCCAGCCAAGGGTGCACGCAGTCACGCCACCGTGAGACGGCGTGGGACTCAACTTATCGCGAATACCACCCTCTGCACTCATATCTTCCCCCCCCCCTTCATGACTTGACTACAAAAAGCGCTCATTTGATGTCGCATCTTCACAGTCTCTGATGATGGCCTCCTGTACGAGACTGAAAGCTCAGCCTAATACACCTACTGTCCCAGAGATCGTGTGTTCACCTTCTTTATAAAAAAACAACCGTCTGTTTTGTTCCATCAAATTACTTATGGACAACACAGACTGGCATCGATTGAAATCGAGGAACACCGATTTCATGTCTTTGATGCTCCATGGTTTCTTTATTTGTTGGAGACCCCTCGTCTTTAGGATTTCGAGTCTTCATTCTCTGCCTGTATGGCAAGAAATTTCCTTGTTCTTGGGGTAGGGGTGATTTCATATCGGCACTAAACACTACAGGAAAGTTCACTCTTTTATTTGGACTATTAATTGTTTTGTGAGGCTTGTGGTGTCATCAGGTTGAGCTCATTCGCAAACTTGTATTATGCCTCGACGTCTCTGCACTGAACTCCAACAAGACGGTTGGCGGGCACCACTGTGGGCATGTCGCAACGGCTTAAACTATAGTTAGTCCCTAGCGACTCTGACCTTCAGGATCGATCCTGGATAGAAGTAGAAGTTGAACGCCAGTTGCTAGAGTGGGGTATTCTGTGCAGAACAGCTGGAGAACGGGTTGGAAAGATCTGGCAGTCGAACGAAGGCATGCCCGGCGCCAGAAGAGCAACGTCCCGAGTGTGCGTGGCGCGTGCGTCACAGCTGCAATGGCTACCTCTTAATAATGTCCTTTATGGCACTCCCATCCAATGGAATCCAATCCGGGCGTGGTGGTACGTCTAAGAACGGCTCCGCTCGCGCCAGTCACCTGCTCCCTCTCCCAGCCCCGGTCTTCCTGGCTGGATCATGCCTCCGGGACCAGGTGAGGGACGAGAGAGTGCGGTAGATGCATTGCAAGTCCACTATCTCTATAAACTAATTCGCGCACAATTCGCCGAGCCTGCGCACACGCTGCGGTTGGGCACGCGGTAGAAATCGTCGGTAACGGTGGTCGAACTGTCGTTATCTTCACTGCACCCTATATCCCGTCCCGTCACCCTGACCTGCCAAAGTCCACCCTCAGTCGATAGCGTCAATTTTTCGATCCCCTATCTAGTAGGCAATTTTTTTCACTAGTGTACTGGCTTAGTGTATCGCGTTTGGCAGAATGTGTTGCATTTCAAACTCCACCACCATTAAAAATAGAGCAGGTGATGAGGTGAGTTTAGGGAAAAAACCGCCAAAAAATTATTCATCAGGATTCAACTGCTCCATCGTCAGGTTTCGGCACTCTTATTCAGATAAAGACCGTCTTTATGTAATTAAATAGCATTGAGAGTTTTTTGTGAACAGTGTGGAATAAACATAGCGCCAGCGGTGACGACAGCGTGGGTGTGATAGGCGATAAACAGCGCGATAGGGTACCCAGATACGCGAGAGCATCCACTAACGGAGAGAAAAGGGGGCAGGCCTCGTGAAACAGGCCATAGCAAGGTAAACATGACAAGTGATAAACAGTCTGGAATGTTATTCAGACGTCACCTAGGTTGACTAAGCGGCTCCGAAACCCGATGGGTCACTGAATAGTGTTCACTTTGCTCTTGTGACTCTGAAAAGAGCCCAATCAGGATGAATCAGCACGTAAGTGACGCGCACTTCTTCACTGACCTTTCATATTTTCATAGCTGCAACCATATTTCCTCCATTGATTCGAAAGTATTTATTAATGATAGTCATATTTTGGAAGAGTACTTTCCTCCTTAGTTTGGTATGTGAAAAGAATCCAATATGTAGCCGGAGACTGCAGCCAACAGAAATATGCTCAGCAACGGCCAAGTAATTTGTTTGTTAAAGGACCTCTCCTGTCCACCCCCCCCTAGGATTACAGAGTTGTAATTTCCTCAGGAACTAATCGCGAACTTGGAACAAATCAGTCTACTTGACTTATCGGCTTAGACTGAATTTTTATATGAATACTTGGGCCAAAGTTCACTTTCCACGGTTGAATAACCGCGTAATATTCACAAACTGCCAACAGACAGCCAGTAGTATATACTGATATAGCACTATATACCATACTTGACAGAGCATGTGCTAGCTAAAAGCCCAGGCACGTGTTTCGCCTATATTCTGTTGCTGCGGGATACAGCTGCGAGCGGTTCGACTCAATAGTGGAACCCCCAACTTTTTTGGTACATACCCGAGTTCTGAAATCGCAGCTTTTTAACTTCCTCAGAAATTAATCGCTAACTTGGAGTAAATCGGTCTATTTGAGACTTTTAGGCTGTGGTTGATGGATTCTGGACCTAGTATTCATATCAAAATTCAGTCTGAGTCTAGGCAGAATTACTTCAACGAGCCGCACGGCAAAAGGACAGATCTCCGCTACCCTCGACACCTCTTCATGGTCAACGGATACCCCTGTAACTTCATCGAGCACGGCGGGCAGTCCAAGCCAAGCCAGAGTTCGGTGACAGAACGTCATACATTAACGGCATATCTGAGGCAGTTTCCCGTCGACCGGAGTCAACAATTCGACACCCATTCATGAGACCTAAGAGTCCCTGCCACGAGGTAAAACCACTAATGTCGTTTACCGGGACCAGTGTTACTCTTGAGAATCTAAATACATTCGAGAGACCGGCAAACAATTACAGGTCCGTGTTAACGAACACATGCGGACAGTGAGGTGAATGGACCCACTGTCTCTGGTGGTGGAACACTGAGCAGACTCAGGGCACACGTTTGCCGTCCAGAACGTCGAAATCCTAGGTCGAGTAAGTGACCGCGTAGCCAAGGAAACGATCGAGACCTGACACACGGAGACTACCTCAATCAACCGTTATGTCGTCCTCCCGGCAGACTACCAGGCCCTACGGACGCAGCTCAACGAACAAAAGGGTGAGCGGGAAGTTAGGCCAGACGTGAACCCACACACGGGAGAACCTACGACGGACACGCCCACCGCCGCACCAAAATACGGGTTCGACGAATGCGCAGTCACAAATACTGCCTCATCAAGGACGGCAAATAAGGTCAATGCGGAAGCAGGTGATGGCCACCAACGTTCAGACACCGACCCCCGATGAGAAAAACAGATTGACGGCTGCCGACCTTTCCTCCCCCTCCGCCCCGGTAACTACAGAGATGATCCCTGTGCGCATGCGGGCGATGAGCGCCAAAACCGATTAACAACTCTCCAAGTGCACATTGTTAAGATGAGCCCGTATAATTAACGGCTCACCTTTATCTGAAGTTCATATACCAGAAACTGCTTACAGAGGGGGAATTTCCAAGGAGCCAGATTTCTTGAAGTCATGTTATGTAACGGTGGAAATATCGACCTCTAAACCTTTAACTAGTACCGATGCTGGGAGTAGGCAAAACTTTTCCGGATATAATTTACACTACTTGCAATACTATTTGTTTGTAGAATGGGTATTACACGTTTATTACGCGGATATTGTCTTCAGAGTAAGGGGATTCCGTACTAACAGCACAGGTACTTGCCAAAAGCCCATACACGCGCCTTTCGCCGATATTTTGTCGCTGCATGACACATTTGCGAGGAGTTCGGCTCATCAGTGGGTCCCCCTGCATTCCCCGTCTGCTATCTGGTGGATACTCCAATTTTGAAATTGTTGCTTTTTAATTTCCTCAGAAATTAACTGCGAACTTGGAGTAGATCAGATCTATAGGCTCCGACCGAAGTTTTTATGCATTAATATTTGGCCCGAAAATCTTCAGCTACAGCGGATAACCGCGTATTATTCAGTAACTGCCGACAGGCAGCTCATAGTATACTTTAGGGTAAGGGGATTCCATACTAACAGCAGAGGTACTAGGCAAGATGTGGTTATGTAGCCCTACCTGATGGACACAATATTGTTGGGGTTGGGGCATCTATTTCTCAACCACTCAAAGGACAACCGTGTATTCCCGATAGCTATTCTATTGCATACAACTAATTGACCTCGTCGCCTGTGCGTTCCCCGGCCCTACCTGGTAAAAACCTCTATTACCACCGGTTTCGTAGTACAGGTGGCTGGGGTTTGTTTACTTCACATGGGGTTACATAACCACACCTGCCCGGTACTAGAAAAAAGCAAACATCCATAACGAATTCTATCCGACCCTAAAAGTCACGTCGCGGACACCTGCTGGTTGCATCAACGAGACAGCATGAGAAGAGAGGAGTTTGACAATTTATTTACTTAAGCTCATTATAGAAGTCCTCCAGATGGACTGAGGCTCCCTCCCCCCAGAAGGTCAACTTTAGGCTGAACCAGTTTGATTGGCAGCGTTTGAAATTGCATTGGCCGTGACAGCGGGCAGGTTAATACGCTTCCGCAAATTCTCCAGCAGAATTTTATCCTCCGGATGCAGGAAGCAGCAGTGAGGGCCGCGGTTGCAACGTTTATTGTTGCAGTCGCGTTTCGGATGGCCGTAGGGGCAGCTGTCGCCCTTGATACAGGCCAACCAGTTGGGACAACGAGAGTGGATTTTCTGCACTGAAGGCGCGGCCGACTGTCCGCTGGGGCTGTTTGAACGCGAGACAAGCGGGCTTCCACTCGGCGACAGGCTGCTGGCATAGAGGCGAGGGACGGGGTGGAGTGGGGGGTGTGAGTCGGGAACCATTCGACAAATTAAATCTCACGGACTGATCTGCTTGCAACACGCTGAATCGGCAAGTGCCTTTTTTCTATCTAACTTTTGAAGGAAGATAAATTTTCATATTGGGAGTGAGACTTCTGGATTACCACTTTGTACAGCGGTCAAGGAGGAAATTAAAGCACAATAAATTCGTTTTAAAATTAACAAAGAATGCTGGAAGACCTTCGCAGGTAATCAGCGAATATGAGGAACTGTTGTGGCGAATGGATTACAATCTTCAACGTCTATCAAATACAGAAGGCTAGGGTGAAGCAGCAGTGTCGTACGGCCCTTACCTTCTCGTGCGCTGACTCATGAAATGTCAACCGAAATTTCGAAATGCGTTCTCGTTTCGAAAAGATAAATTTAGTAGTGTTGTAAAACTAATCATGATGCAGCGTAAATCTTTAATGATCCAGTTACCTCAGGGTTTCGGCTTTTGAATGAACTTATTTTCGGCTGCATGCAACATCTATACTCTGCCAAAAAATGACTACGTAAGTAGCATGCAATGTTCTCATTGATTTTCGATGCCCTTGAAAATACAATTATATTTCATGGAAAACATGCATAAAAATATTCATTTTTTGCCCATTCGGTAGATAATAACGTCTTCTTGTAATTTTATATTCGAAGGAGAGACATAATTTGGTTTTAAAAAAGTTATTAATTGTGAGATTTTTTAATACCGTTAAACGGCCTTTCATGGAACGTCATGTATCTGCATTTACGAATGTAGCTTGTAAAGTTAATAGCATTGCTCAAATCCCCTGCTCAGTTTTATGAACCTCATATAGTCTTCTCTTAACACCGTAGAGAAATGCATGGTTTTCCGTACACGGAAAATATACAGCTTGTAGTTTTGAAACCCTGAATGCAAATGTGACAGCAGGTCGGGTTCAAAATTATTCGGGAAGTAGAAATGTTTTTTAAAACCGAATTATACTCTTTTTGAGTATGAAGTTGAAAGAAGACGTGATTTTCTACCGAATAAGTAAAAGAATAAATATTTTTATGCATGTTTTCCAAGATATGCAATTGAATTTTTAAGGGCATCGAAAATCAATGAGAACATTGCATACTACGTAAGTAGTCATTTTTTGCACAGTATAGATCTTGCATGCAGCCGAGAATAAGTTCTTTCGAAAGCCGACACCCTGAGGTAACTGGATCATTATAGATTTATGCTGTATCATGATGCGTTTTACAACACTACTTAATTTATCTTTTCGAAACGAGAACGCATTTCAAAATTTTGGTTGACATTTCATGAGTTAGCACATCTACTGTAAATCTCACGGACTGATCTGCTTGCAACACGCTGAATCGGCAAGTGCCTACTTTATAGATAAAACAGAAAATGTGGGTTGACAGGCAAACCAGGCAGGAGGGAGGATCCCTTCGAGGTGTTTCGCGGTCTCACACATACACTACAGGAGCAAACCCCGTCTTTCTGGACTCGACAGTAAAGGCATCTTTTTTTTCTATCTAACTTTAGGAGGAAGATAAATTTTCATATTGGGAGTGAGACTTCTGGATTACGACTTTGCACAGCGATCAAGGAGGAAATTAAAGCACAATAAATTCGTGTTCGACTTGACCAAGAATGCTGGAAGACCTTCGCAGGTGATCGGCGAGTATGAGGAACTGTTGTGGCGAATGGATTACAATCTTCAACGTCTATCAAATACAGAAGGCGAAGGTGAGGTGGCCGTGACGTTTGGCTGGAGTACGCAGGAAGAACATTCGAGGCGTCCGTTGGCCCTGTGAGATCCTCTCGCATCCACCGCGGAGCCACGAACGATATCGACAACGGGGAACACCACAAATGCTTACCAACTTTCCACTTCCCCCCCCTCTTCCTAGAACGCGGGCACTTTTTCATTGGTTGAGCGACCTCGGCCTACCCAACTGCACCAAACATGGAGGAGAAGGCAGAACAGACTGATCTGCTTACCTGGCGACGTCCAGGACTTCA